GGGCATAGAGGACCTACAATAATGTACAGTATTTGAAAAATAATGTGTTTTTTGAACATTAAAGCATGTCAACATATTCTGTTACACCAAATACACAAAATAATGATCTTTAAAATAGCATCATATGACCCTTTTAAAAGAGACAAATACAAAGTTCTGTCAGAAAACTCTAGATGGCTAGATAGTTTCTAACTCAATCTGCTATAATGATATCATTATTCACATGGCACAGCTGATTGGTTCTTTTAATATCAGTCAATGAGATTGCGTCTCAACATTCAAATATATAGCTAGTGCTTGCTGTAGCAGTTGCAGTGTGCTTCAGAAACCCTCCACCTTCCCCAGCTCCACCTGCACAGATCTGCTATGGGGTGATTTCATGTATGTTATATGTGCAGCAGCAGTATTTCTTACATGCTCACAGCAGCATGTCTGTGAATGTATTGGCAGTAGCAAGTCTTGGTTACAGAGTGTTGGTTAAGCTTGGACATTGCATTCAGCAGATATAGGTCAGCTTGTAAAAAATTGGCATCTTGTTGCAAAATAATTAACTTATATCTTCTCAATGGTTTGACGAGTCAAAATTATGTTGATAACTTTTTGTCATGAGTGCCTGGGGATAATATGTGCAAACTTTCATGCAAATCAGACAAACAACCTAGAAAGAATTTGAAAAAGTACCCCTTATGTTTCCAGAGATATGGATCAAAATGCAAATGTACTTAATATAGCGCCACCTAGAATCAGGCAGATGTGTGTCTGTGCACCTGAGTAGCAATGCATAATTGGGACCATCTTACTGAGTTTGGGCTCTCTTCAATTTATAGTCTCTGAGGCCCATATTGTTTTAGGACAGAAAAATACTCAAGGCTTTTCGCCAAGTACATTAGATGTCACACTGTAATGCCACTTTAGCTTTACGTGCTTGTTTTGGATATACAGTATATGAAAAATCATGCAATCCTAGAATAGTTATCCAAATAACTTTTCTGGAATATCTCTGAAAGGGTCTGATTGTTTACACTGTCAGTGTGATAAAGCCCATTCTTCATGCTCACAAGTGGTCCGCAAATCAGCACAAATTAGTTACTTTGTTATTAATTTAGGCCTACACAAAAATGAAAATTTGTTTCTGCCCAAAATGAGTTCATAACCCATAATAACTATTCCAGCAGTAAAAAGTCCATCCCCAGTTCTTCGCACATGTGATATCCACTGACATACTTGTTTAAAAGTGTTTTCTGTGCATATTTCTCTCCTGATTCAGACATGAAGATATTCACTGGACAAAGCAATATTATGGATTTTTGGCCAAAAGCACTGGGTTAAAGTTAAAACGACTTAATATTGGGTTAATAATGCCAACGTTTCGCTCCACAAAACATTAATTGATGAACTAGAGTGTGGAATACTTATAGATTATTATAATATTTTTTTTAGCAGCTGTTTAAATTCTCATTGGTGGCACCCATTCATTGCATTTTGTTGGTGGACAGCTATTGGGAACAGACTGACTAGTTTCTGGTCACATCTGGGTCTACGAAGCATAAATGAGCTTTAAATGACCAGAAACAGAAAATTATCTGAGTGAAACGTTTTTAGTGAGTTAATTTAAAGGTGCACTTCTGTGCCTGTGACAATCATTACGGATAAAAACAGACAAAGGCTACACAAAACATGCCTTTTACTTTATTAATGTAGTTACAGATTATTGTGTCACAGATAAGCTATGTAAAGTAATTTAATGTTAATAAATAGTATTCTATATAATATAAACATATTAATAAAAAGTGGCTGTTGATACAAGTAAATGGTGTTTAAGGCATTATGCTTTATATACACTTAAAATTGTGTTGTGCTAATGTGTTATGTCGAACTTTGTTATCAAAACCCATCTTTCTCTGATAAACATATTTATATTATTAATCTGTTACTTATCTTAGCAAAGTTTTATATTCATAAGTCAAAAGTAATTCAAAAGAAACCATCATATATTACATTTTGTAACACTGATCTTAAAATATACTTTGAAACCCTTTCTAATATGAGATCACAAAATAAGAAGCTAATAAAAACAATACCAATTCTAAAGCTTTTCAAAATTATGTAACTGCCCTAATGTATGTATTTTTTTTCTTTTCATTCTGTTATTTTTATTTTATTTATATATATATGTATATATATATGTTTGTATTAATTTTGCGTTTTTGTTGTTGCTGTTGTTCTGTTTTGCATGCTTTGAGATGTGCAACGTTTCCCTGTTTCCATTGTGCCTTTATCAGCCGCCGTACACAAGTGCCCCGGATGCGCAGCGTAGTCCACAGATCTACAGCGCATTCGGCTCGTTTCCACAGCTCTGCTTGTCGATGTTAGGATGTTGTACATATCAGCTCTGTCTGTTAGCGGCTCACTCTCTCACACACTCATTTAAACTCATAGCTCCGGTCCGCTTCATTCACAGGCCTGCTCAGTTATGAACATGACGCCGTTTTTAGCGAGTTTTATTTATTTGGCGCTGTTATGTAGTAGGATATGCTGTGATAATGACACAGAAGAGGATGAGCACGCCAAACACACATACACGGTGGAGATGTTCAATGATGCCGTCTCTACTGCTCCACACTTCGTCATGTTCTACGCGCCCTGGTAAAACTGAACACTTATAACTGAATATTTTCATTATATTGAGATATATCTAAAATGGTAAATGCAATGAGATCAGTGCCGTTATGTTGGTTCTGATTTAAATTGCTGCGATGTTTGAAGTGACTCCATTAACTCCATTAGCCACTTTAATCTACAGAGACACTCATTATAAAGTCAATTTTGGATGAAGTTTCTAATGCACGTTCATACAAAGACACGAAGCACAGCTTTTTGACATTAGAGTGATGATAATAGACTTTGATAAAAAGTTTAAATTCCTGCACTCATAAAGTTTTAGTGTACGTGGCAGAGCATGAACAGCCATGACATCAGACCCAGTTTCCAACTCTCGCGAGACAAATAAGCAACCGCAGCTTCAAAAACAAGCCCAATATTTTTTTGATGATTTATTATCATCAATATGATTTATTATCAATTATTTATTACCAATAAATGAGCCTGCAACATATTAAACTGAAACCACTCTTTTATCTGAAAAGCAAAAACAAAATACAAAAATCAGCAAACTGCAACAAAAGTGGGAACTAAACTCATCTCCAATCACCTGTGAGCAGAATAGGATTGGAGAGATGGAAAAGGAGAAAAACACAAGAGCTTCAAAGGGAAGCTGTAACATAGTCACATATTTATAGCCTACTAAAATATAGGCTATTTGAACCATATTTACTCTTAGTATTAGTATAGGACTACTTGTTTTTTATTTCAGCCTGTTATAATTAATACATTACAAAAACTAAAATTAAAAATAGTGCTGTCAAACGATTAATCGCTTTCAAAACAGTTTTTGTTTACATAATATATGTGTGTACTGTGTATAATTATGTATATATAAATACACACATACAGCATAAAAATATTTACATTTATTTATTTAGTCATTTAGCAGACACTTTTATCCAAAGCGAGGCTACTCCTCTACGTCTACTTCTATCATCGCTTGGATTACAGCGTCACGCGCCTTCTTTTTTAACGTGATTTTTCTCCAATGAGGGGGAGGAGGGCGTCCACAAACATTAGGCAAATTACGCTGCAGCACTTATATTATTGCACTGGTTGGCTATTAACTGCAAGCAGACAGAGTGTCATTCAATGCATTGGAGAATACGGCGAACATAAATAAAGAAACAAAGTTGCTTGTCAGATTTTCCTAACAAGCAACCGTATTTTTTTAAATAAGCCCAAAAAAACGCAACCCGCGACCTGGGATTTTTTCACGCAACTTTACAAAAAAAGAAGCCCAAAGTCGTGTATAATACGCGGACTTGGCAATTATGGTCATAAACTTTCCCTCCAAAAGTGCAAGTCACCATTGACTCTTTAACCTTTGAGAGGTGTGACCTCCACAGAACTTAAAAGGCCTCACTTCAGTGACCTGCCTGGCTTTTTAGTCTCTTCACTCGTCTCTCATCACCTTCCCGTCTTCTGGTTGCTAAGTCCCAGAGCCGGCGCTGCCGCGCCTGGCAGGCCTCGACACAACTCAGTCTGTGGTACTTTTAGATCCTAAGAGGATGGGGATGCTGAGTTAGAACTATTCTGGACCCCTAAGTTTGGTGCCAGGCTGTGGCCTCGTCTTTCCATTCACCAAGGATTTTAGCTGATGTCTCTCGAGCTCCACGCTCTTCTCTTTTCAATTTCCACCTGGGAAGAAACTCCCAATCACCACCGAGTCAGAACACTGTTGCAGTTCATCACTCTTCAAACCTGGAAGAACATGATCGCAAGTCCAAACCTTGAAACCATCAAGACTTTCATCCGAGATTGCATCCGGACTCTCGTTCAACGACCAAGGCAACTTATACTGAATGTTCGCTGGACGAACAGATTAGTCGATGGCAATTTAATTATGCTACAGTTACTACTGTAATTGTAATTAATCATAATTAATTGTAATTATTTATATACCTTTCCCTTTTGAGCTAATTTGCTACACAGATCTGCTTTTAATGCCCTGTGCAGTCTCTGGATGTGACATGCCTACAGCTCACCACAGATTTTTTACTCCTCTACGTCTACTTCTATCATCGCTTGGATTACAGCGTCACGCGCCTTCTTTTTTAACGTGATTTTTCTCCAATGAGGGGGAGGAGGGCGTCCACAAACATTAGGCAAATTACGCTGCAGCACTTATATTATTGCACTGGTTGGCTATTAACTGCAAGCAGGCAGAGTGTCATTCAGTGCATTTGGGAATACGGCGAACATAAATAAAGAAACGAAGTTGCTTGTCAGATTTCCCTAACAAGCAACCATATTTATTAAAATAAGCCCAAAAAAACGCAACCCGCGTCCCGAGACTTTTTTACGCAACTTTACAAAAAAAGAAGCCCAAAGTCGCATATAATACGTGGACTTGGCAACTCTGCAGACATCACTTCCTCATCGTCTTAAAATAAAAGTACAATGGTAGTACCATGGTCTTTTAAACATGTGCAGTGGTAATACTAGGGTTATTTTTAAGGATTAATGGTACCATATTAAACCATGGTAATATGGAAAAAACAAAAACAGCATACAAATTACCACAGTTCTATCTATGCAGTGGTATTACCATTTTATTATTTGATGGTATTCAATCAAAACAGCCACAGACACAATCTAGAAGTGATTCTAAATCGCTAAGCAATATTCCTGAATTAATATACCATCATAATCTTTGATTTTAAACTTTATTCTTTTGGTTTTCTTCTGATTACTGTATTTTATTGTACTTTATTTTATATTGTTTATATTGTTACTTTATTTTATATTGTATTACTTTTATGTTGAGAACGATTCACTAAGGCAGATATTTACCTAAACTTAAAGCTAAAGCAGATTTAAGAAGTTGCTTTAGTTTTGTAGTGACTCATTGCTCTCCTATTTTATGAAAAATGTTGTAATATGTGAAGGAATAATGAAGTAATAAATAGTATGATAAAAGTGTTTGAATATGTTTGTGGTGTGCAGGTGTGGTCACTGTCAGAGGCTGCAGGGGGCGTGGAATGAGTTGGCTGATAAATATAACAGTATGGACACTCCTCCAGTGTATGTTGTGAAAGTCGACTGCACAAAAGACACAACGTTTTGCTCCAGTGAGCATGGGATCCGTGGATACCCCACGTAAGCATTATTTCTCTGTTAGTACTGTACATCAACTAAAAAGGTGTTTCACTTATGCAGAATGCCAGTAAAATGATTCAGATGTGTAAAAACATTTTATATGCATGATTTATAGTCACCTGACAGTCATGTACCTAAGGTAAAATTACATGTGGTTTGATTATTCATTGACTGACTAACTTGGTGTTTGTTTTACAGTCTGAAGTTGTTTAAACCTGATCAGGAGGCTGTAAAGTATCAGGGCCCAAGAGATCTGCAGGCGCTGGAGAGCTGGATGCTGAAAACCCTTCAGGAGGAACCTGAAGTAAGATCATAAACAGCTAAAATGCTTGTATGACTAGAAAAAAATCTTATGCTTAATTTTAAAAGCACTTTGTCAAATACATGGTCAAGGTTTAATTCTAAAATGTCACAATATTACAGCACTCGTTCTTATTTTGTCTTTCCCCATCTCACCCCAGGAACCCCAGACTGAACCCGAGCCTCCCAAAGTCCCTGAACCCAAACAGGGCCTGTATGAACTCACAGCCACAAACTTCAAATCACACATCTCTAAAGGTAGTAGCCCAAAACATCTTTTAAAAAATATTATATTCATGGATGCAGTCTAGGAAAAAATGCCTGAAAACATCATGACAATTAATACAATCTTTCAATCAATACTGAATGGTAGTAGTCGGACTGGGCGATGAAACACTATATTGTTGAGTCATGCTAAAATTTATGTCGATAACAATGATAAGCTCTGGACATTTTTACTCTATGTATTAATCTAACTGAAGAAATACAGGTGACAACAGCCAGTCAGTGCTTGTTGTTAACAGGCTAACTCTGCATGTTCTGCATAAATGAATGGCATGGTTTCGTCTGATACACAAACTCAAACACACGTGATGCTCGTGGTGATTTCAGCATCTGCGTCTCAATATATGAGGACATGAACTTCAATCTACTTTTTTTCAAATTTTCTACTTGAAACAATAGAATAAGAAGAATAAGTTACTGATCAGATAAAATCAGTATTAACAAAATTAATTTGCACTACAGAGGTGGCACAGAAGAACACAAAAGTGGCATGTATATTTACAGACATTTAATGAGGCTCAGAGGTGGCATGAGTGCAGTTAAATTCATAAATGAATGTTGCGATTAATATAGAAATAGTAAATGATTTAAATAACTGAAATGATACTTTAAAAATGAGACTAAAACTGCAAGTACAACCCTCTACATTGCGAGTAAATCACTCGCATATGCGACTAAATCTTCACTCATATATCCACACAGTATATATACACACACACACATATATATATATCAGTCTGGCGAGTAAACAAAAAAATTTACTAGCCAATGGCGATTCAATTGCCAAGGTGTTCGTAGAGGGCTGCAGTAGGTGGCGGCAAGTCACTGATTTTATCACGGAATAATTCATTCAGTTGATTCGTTCAACTGATAATTCGTTCATTCAGGAACAAAGCAAGTGTCTTTATGAATGAGTAATTGAATAATTGACTCATTAGATCCGTTTAAAAACACACATTCTTTCATAAACAAATCATTGCTGTGTTTGCTTAGAGATGTGCATCATGTCAGTCATGACTTTGTTTGAAACTATTTTCATTGACGAAATATTGATTTAATAACAGTTCAGTAAACAAGAAGTTAATATCAGTAACTTACATTGTCTAACTACAACAGTATTGCCTGATTTTGCAGATCACATTTGCAGACTCCTTTATCATTAAAAGCTGCTGCTCATCTTCGTTCATCGCGATCTCACAAAGTTCCATTATAATCAATGAATCTCTTATTTACATCATGTCTACACTTTGTTATAGTAGAGGATTCGTGAGCTTGCATAACTCAGCACTGAACAAAGCTCTGGTGTTTTGAGCAGTGAGTGAATTCTGACTAACATTGCATTCAAGGAAATCTACAGATATGTCTGTGATGCATTACTCAATGCTGCAAAAACACATTGTATGTAAGAAACCATTGAAGCTCCTCGAGCGCAAACACAAATATGCTGATTGACCCAGTCGCAGCTGGTGCTCCTACAGTGTTTCCCCTGCCATTATATTAGGGGGGCGCCCTGCCCCGCAAATGTCAACCCCCCCCCCCCGAAGGTCGTTAATTTTATTCAATTTTATTTTCTATATAGCGCCAGATCACAACAGAATTCATTTAAGGTTACCTTTCCTATAGAATAGGTCTATACCTTGTTGTTTTATTAAACAAACTAAATAGCCTTGTGTTATTTATCTTATTTACACGAAGGCATGTCATTACTGTCAATACATGGTCGCGCGTTTACAATTCTCCTCTGCTCTCTGTATCGCGCTCGTGCGCACACACAGGTAGGGCCCTATGATTTTTGCGATGCAGAAAACGCAGACTGAATCGTGGAATCCAGTCATAAAAACGGAATTTACTGTATAATGCGGAATGTCATGGAATTTGTCAAACTTTAAATGAATTAATCAAAAGTAGGTGAGTACACTTAAATATGGACTAGTATATGTAAATATTAAGCCATAAAAAGACTATTTAAACACGAAATACACACACGTTCTGTGTGTCTAGGGTTGTTACGGTATGATAATCGTCTCAGAAAATATCACGGTTTCACGGTTTTCACTGTATATATTAAAAAAATAATTCTTATCAGTAACAATGACTCTTAAAAGAACAAGAACAAGTTATTTGAGTGAACAAATCCTTTATTACAACAAACTTGAAACCATTTTAATGAAATAAAGTCTCCCTTCTGAAAAAAAACAAAAAAAACAATAAAAAATAAAGCTGTACACCTTATGTATATCTATATCACACTTTAACATTTTAATTAATGTTTTTAAATGTTATCAAATGAAAATGTACAACTCCTTTTATTTTTGGCAAAGTTAAAACATGGACAAACATTATATTCCTTGAAAATAATGTTTAAATTATTTTATTATTAATAATATTATTGTTGTTATTATAACTTTGAAGTAGGCTACAATGTACAATGCTAATATCATAATATACAATGTCATAATTTCACGTTAAATCGAACTTTTATTTTGACGGGTTGTAGCAGACCTGTGTATTTAACAATGTTTTTTCTCAAATAAAACTTGGAGATGTTTATTTACATTTTTACATGTTCATGTTTATGTATCTTAGACGCTGAAAACACCATTTATGTATGCGTACTTCAGTATGTAATAGATAAAACGGCGCCCCTCAGAGACATGTAGAAACAAGCAGATTATTTATATAGCAGTCTCTTTGCGCATAAATATTCACAGACATTTATCATATCTACTTTTGATTTATACATCCATCAGATGGCGCGTTTTACGTGACATCCTCGTTATACTGTAAATTCCATATTCACAACTGCGCCGGGATTCCCTCTGCATCACGGAAATCATACGGTCTCAACTTATAACTTGTTGTTAATGCGACACAACTTCATCTGCATGGAGATATGGTGTCCGCGAAGATGTTGGATGTATTGCCTGCTTTTGCAGCCACATTGCGTCCACATTTTTTGCAAATTGGATCCATCCTCAAGGACAAACCCGCGTTCGTTTTTTTTTTTAATATCCGAAGTATTCCCATACTGCAGATTTTAACTTTTTTTTCGGCAGGGATGGAGATTAGATATAATCTCTGTCTCTGTCATTTTCTCAGGGTGTCCGCGGGGTCTTAAAAAGTATTAAAAGTTGATAAATCAATTTAGAGAAGATTAAGGCCCTTAAAAAGTCTTAAATGGCATATTCCAAGGTATTACATTTTGTATCATCTTTTCATTATGTATATTTGTCCGAATAGTGGGGTTCTGTATAGTTTATTTATGGATTCCTGCAAGATTTGATGTCATCTGTTACGGCGCTCACTGACTGACTGCGCCGCTGCGTGATAGCACGGGGTTT